ATTTAAGCAACATTTTAAATGTTAATACCACTGAATTTTATCTGGCCGGGGCGGCTTACAACAATAAATAAAACCAATAAGTTAAAATATACATATAGATAATCATTATAATTTAAAACACACAATATAAAATAAGCCGCCCTGGCCAGATAAAATTCAGTGGTATTAACATTTAAAATGTTGCTTAAATAAAAAGGTCTTCGCCTGGCGCCAAAAAACAAATGACGGTGCCAGGCGGACCTCTCTGGGGAGCGCATTCCATAACTTAGGTGCCACCACTGAGAAAGCCCTCCTCCGAGTAGCCACCCTCCTAATTTCTCTCACGGGGGGCTCCTGGAGAAGGGCCTCTCCCGCCAATCTCAGGGGGTGACTGGGCATATACATGTTACTGGCTGCTTTGCTCCTTCTCCTGCTCCCTTTGAACGGAGTGTGCAAGACGTGCATTCACGTTGCTTTGAACACACAGCCGGCATCCCTGGGATGCTGCTCTCCAGCGCGCCTGCCCACCTGTCTGCAGGCCGGCCGCAGCTCTGCTTGGAGTGTTGGACGCCCTTCCCGCGGAGGCAGGAGCGGCTGTGCAGTGGCAGTACTGTTCTTGCCAGCATTTGGCCTGGGATGTGCAGCAGAGTCCCTGTTCGTTCCTGCAGGTGTGGGGCCTGAAGGTACCCCCTTTAGCCACTCCTGAGAGAGGCAGCACACCACAAAGAGTTTACCCCAGTCATTTGTCAGACATTCCCGCCCCACACTGGCACGCTGCCTCGGACATCTTTATTTTGCAAATGCGTGTGGAGACCCCTCTGTCGGGCCCATTGTGGATTCTGTGAGGGGAGGGCACCACAGAAGCCTAGTGGGGAGCTTTCCTACTGCTACACCTGGAGGGGGTCCTTCCAGAACAGGAAGACCCCAAGGGAACTGCCTCCCCTCTGCACACTGAATGCTGCTGCAGGCACTGGGCCACCCCTCCAAGGCTGTGGACTCGGATTCCGATTCAGAAGTGCAAGCGGAAGAAGAGGCAAAGCGGGAATTCACAGCTGCGGTGCCAAAGCCATGACCTCAGCAGTAAGGCTGACGGTCACTGAGAACTGCGAAAGACATTCGGAGGCAGAGCACCCGGAGGAGGCGCCCCGACTGTGGAATGCGCTCCCCAGAGAGGTCCGCCTGGCGCTGTCATTATATGTTTTTCAGGGCCAGGCTAAGACCTTTTTGTTTAAACAATATTTTAACAACTTTTAATATTGAATTTTAATATTGTATTTGCAGCCAGAGTGGGTCGTCAATTTATTTATGCTGTTAGCCGTCCAGAGACGCTGGTAATTGGACGGCATACAAATTTCATAAATAAATAAACAAACTTTTGTGCTTGTGGGGCAGCTTTAAGCAGCTGGCCAGGCCCCCAAAATTCTAGGGGCAGCATGTAGATGGAGAGCGCTGCTCTGAGGCTCCACTCCAGGATGAGGGTGTCCATGGCCACTCTGCACACAACAAGCCTCAGCGTGCCTGAGAGAACCACTTCCCTGGCCGGAGGCAGGAGGGCTTCCTGGAGCGCCTCTGGCAGAGGAACACGCTCCCGCGTGCCTCCCAGCGAGAGCCAGTTGCAACCACGCCGTGAGGGGTATCATTCTATTGCCAGTACGTCCCGGGCCGGGCCGGGCACCAGCCTGCGTCTGAGCCAGCGAGCTCCGGGGAGTCGTGGGCAATAATCTTCACCTTGTCCTCGCCTTAATTCTCAAAGGCGGGTGCTGGGTCGAACGAGCTAAAAAGACATCCCTGCCCCAGGGAAGCAGCAGTAAAGGCCCAATCGGGCCTTCTGGAGGTCCCCAGAAAGCCAGACCGCAGCCCCTGTGCCCGGGCCACCAGTGCTCGGGGCATTCTCGACTTTTGCACCTCCTTGGTGCCTCTCATGAGGTCTGGCTGCTTGCAGCAAGAGCGCCAGGCTGAAATATGCTGGCCTGCTGCCCGCCCCTTTCAACTTTGGCGCTGCCCACCCGGGAGCACAGCATCCAGCAGAAACCCCCAAGGAGAATGCAGAGCTCGGCCTGGGAGGGGTTCTGCCTCCCGACCCTAAGCAGACCCACCTGAAGTCGGCTCACAGGTACTATGTGGGTGCGCTGGTGAAGGGCTGCCCAAGGGCGAGTGGTGAGTAGGAAGAGCCGGGCCCCAGGCTGGCTCCAGAGCGGGATGGGAGGCTTCGGGGAGTCCGGGAGCTGCTCTCACCCCCAGCCTCACCCCCCTCCTGCTGCGCCACCAGCATTCAAGGGCAAATTCAGCTTTTTTCCCTCATTTTTTGAAGCTGGGCTTGGGAGTGCAAATTTTGGCGGCACAGCGGGGGTATCATGGGCCATACCAGAGGTTGCCCACCCTGCTCTGGAGCAATGGGGCAGGTGCTGGTCCAAGCCAGCAAAGCCTGCATTCTGGGCAGCTGCCACCCCTCTCCCTTTCCACAGAGGATCTCTCTGGGTGCCCTCCCTACCCACTCCCTCCAAGGGAAGGATGCTTTGCCCAGGGGCCCCCAGTTTCCAAAAGTGAGTTTTCAGGGCTTAACCAAGCACTCCATCCAGGTAAGGAACAGGCAGCAGCCACTCAATGGCCACCAGAGGGATCAAAATGGCCGTACGAAATGCAGCCAGCTGAGAAAACTCCCTGCACAGGGCGGGGAAGGGATGACCGAAGCCCCTCAGCATTCTTACCCGTCGCTGTTTCAGGAAGTCGAGGGCGATCTGCACATTCTGTAGTCGGTGGAACCGCATCCGGCCCTTCTCCCGTGGCTAGAAAACACAAGGCAGCCCATCAGTCCCCTCATGCATCAACTCCTCTTTGGCTGGGCTTCTCCTCCATTACGCCAAGAAAACATGAGCTGACGTGTGTGTGTGTGTGTGTGTGTGTGTGTGTGTGTGTACGTGCGCACGCGTCTGTGTAAGATCTGGACCCCTTCAAGGGTCAAGCCGCCCCCTTGCGTTCTGCCACGTGTGGCTGCACATCGTCAACAAACAAAGTGAAGCCCCCTAAACAGTCTCCGCTTCAAGCAGAAAGCCCCCGCCCCAGTTCCTTCCAGCATGCTAACAAGGGCAGTGCTCCAGGCTGCTGACCGCTGAACCCAGCCCCGGGCAGAGCTCCAGGCTGTCCAACAGGAAAGGCAGGGGCCAGAGGCAAGAGGCAGAAGCCAACCAGGCGGGGGGTCCACAGAGAACAGCGGCCTCCCCGTTGCCCATTAGGGCCCCGAAAACACCCCCTCCACACCCAGCTCCCCAGACGTCAAGAACAGGTAAAGGCAGCCCAGGAACTGGGTAAGGGGTTGCGGTCTGCTGAGCGGGAAGGGCCTGCTCCGGTGTGCAACACTAGGCCACATCCGGCTTTGGACAGAGCTGCCCACCGAGGCAAGCCGGACCACCCGCAGCAGCTGGCCTGTGGCTCCGAGGCACGGGGAACGACAGTGTGGGGCTTCTGCCATGAAGGGGCCCAGGCGTGTGTGCTCCCCGGCTGGAGGTCCAAGCAGGGTGAAACGGCAGGGAGCCGCCTCACCTCTGTGCCACCAGAGGGGCCGATCCAGGCCAGGCCAGGCCAGGCCAGGCCAGGCCAGGCCAGGGGGCTGAGCAAGAGGCTGTGGGGCTGCTGACCTAAAAAGCTTTCCCCTCACAGCTCCCTTGTCGGGAGCCAGCCTTCCCCCGTTGCACATCCAAGGTCACAGGCCGTTCCCTTTACAAAAGCTCTTTGTTCTCTAAGGTACACCCAGCAAGCACAGTCTGCACAGAAGATGTCTCTGACCATGCACAGAGCAGTTTGTGGAAGCCAATCTCACCATGACTTCTGAGAACCCTCTTTCTGAGTTCCCCCAGGCTCCTCACTCTGGAAGGGCCCCTCTGGAGGCAGCCAGTTGCTTCTCTGAGCGCCACCCCTCTAGCTGGCTGGCCCGTCTTTCCCGGTGCCGCATCATGGGGCCAGGAGTCACACCGGGCTTGGCTGGATCCTGGAGCAATTCTCCCACACACCCTCCCTGCAGCTGTAGATTCGGACTATTTTCAGGATCCCCTGAACACCCAGGAGGGCGGCCCTGAGATGAGCTCCCCCGCTTCTCGCATGTCGACAATGTCTGATGATGCCAGTTCCCAGGGCTCCTTCCCCTCTGGCGAGTCTGAATCTGCCTGACCCCTTCCATTCCCAACATCTCCTGACGAAAATTGCCTCCTACCTCAGATTGCCCAGTTTGGGAAAACACGCAGGCCTGCAGGCTGCACCCTAACAGGGCAAGCGCCATCTCTGGGCAAGGAACTTTCAGCTCGCTTCCTGCACCCCACCCCACAAGGCGCTTCCAGGTGCCGATGCATGGAGCTATCAGGCTACCTCATTTGTGGCATTTTACAGAGGCCCTGCTGCCACCTCTGACTCTGAACCCGCCTGCGCTTTCCCACTCTTTCCGTCTTTTTTTCCTTACCACAGAAAATCTGCCAAGGAAAGGCAAAGGAGGTGGACAAGAGCTTTCGACTGGCAAGACAGGACCCCTTTGTCCAGAAGGGGCAAAGCACTGTGTACCTACTCCATCTTTTCCTCCTAGATGGATTTTTCCAAAGAAGAAAAGGAATGTGAGAAGCAGTGGGAAAGCACAGGACACTTCCAAACTGCCGGCGCCACTGCCTGGGCCTCTCATGCCCATATCCCACGGAAGTCTACGAATGAACCAGGGCAGCAGCACAGCAAGGGCCTTGTCTGGAAGCACCCCAGCACTTCATCCCTGACCCAGGCGTTCCTGCTCCTGCAGCTTCCATCCACCAGCAGTTAGAGAGACAGGCTAGCCACTGATGGATCGCCATCTCCCATATCAAGGAACCCATCAGACAGGAGTGGGCAACTGGCGACCCTTCAGAGGTCTTGGCCTACAAGTCGCATTAGCCCTGGCAGCACAGCCAATGGTTCCCCACTCCTGCCTAAAGCAAACTAAACAGCCTTTGCAGCAGGACAGAAGAATGAAAAAGCAGGATGGAGCAGCTGGGTGGCGAGCAGAGAGGCTGCAGAAAGAGGGGCCTGTGCTGTTTTCTGTGCACTGAATGGGGGAAAGGCCCCGTAGCTTTATGGGCCAGGATCACAGCAGGGCTGGAAGGGGCCTATCGTGCCACTGAGTCCAACCCCTGCTCAGCGCAGGACTCCAAGTTGAAGCATCCATGATGGAGGGCGCTCACCACCTCCCCAGGTCATGGGTCTCATTACTGCACTGCTCCGACAGTCAGGAAGTTCCTCCTGATGTCTAGCCGGAATCTGGCTTCCTGTAACCTGAGCGCACCATTCCATGTCCTGGTATTCTGGGATGGTTGGTCCTGGTATTTGAGAAGTGCTATCCTATCTCCCCTCAGTCTTTTCTTCTCAGGGCTAGCCCTCCAAAATTTAGCCACTGCATTGTGTGATCCAAGAGGAAAGTCCCCAGAACTCCTTGTAATACTGCAGAGGATGCTGGGATCTCGGCTGCTATTGTGCTTTCTAAACACACGGCCACCAAATGTGGATCGTTTGTGCTGCTGAACCCCAACCATGCAGGTACGCTTCAAGCAACCCTGCAAGGGCATTTCCTGCACTGTGAGGCTCCTGCAGCAGTGGAGGAGCGAGCAATCTTAAAAGCCAAGTGAGGCAGAGAAGAAGACAAAAGGAAAAGTTACACATGAAATGACAGACAACTAGCGAACAACGCAAGGCGTCTAACCTCAGATGGAGCAGACCACGGGCAACACGGCAACTTCAGCTAGAGCGACCGTTTTAGTTCCGCATTAAGCTAACCACAAAAGGCCCTCAGCAATCTGGACGCATCAGAATCCCGCCTGAACACCCATTCACAGAATAAGGAAGATGCTCCCCTTTGAAGACACTCTGCCCGGCTAGAGAAGAGCAGGGTCCACCCCGACACGCCCCACCATGTCGACCAAGGTCAAGCAGAGATCTGGGGACCAGGACGCACATGGCGAGGACCACTCCTGCGCAGAAGCAAGTTACGAGGATAACCCGGCTTGAAAACAGGAGAGCTGACCACCTGCGGAGGCGGGTTTTGCTTTAGTCTTGTGGCAATGAGGATGCAGGTGCAAGGCACCTTCCGGGAAGGGTGAGCTGCCTTCCTACAGAGAACCAGGACTGTTTTATTTGACTTCAGACACTTTCATATTCATCAGACAAGGTAATTTTCTACACGTGAGGTGGTGAAAAAGAGACATGCAACGCAAGCGGCTGCTCATGCACAACCAACACCCCAAGGTTACACGTGTGGGAGAAGTGCGGCGCATCTGCGGTCGGTAAGGCAGGTCCCCATGCACTCACACTGTGTGGGTTAGTTTACTCACACTTCCAGTCACAAGCACCGGAAAACACACACTGATAATCCAGTGAATAGTCACTATCCCAGAGGAATCCATCCCACACCACTGAGAGAAGGAAAAAAGAGGGAAATCTGCCCTTTGTCAAATGAAAAATCTGTACGGTAGATTGCATGTATTGTGGTTGTGTGCTAAACTATCATGCGCCCTAAAATGCTGGCTAACAAAAAGAGGGGAAAAAATGAAAAAGTCAAGTATGTTTTGAAATTGCACCTGTGAAAGGGACCTCGGGGTGCTGGTCGCCTGTAGGCTAAACATGAGCCAGCCGTGTGATGCGGTGGTCAAGAGGGCGAACGCCACCCTCGGTTGCAGAGCCAGAAGCGTGGCTTCTAGATCGAGAGAGGTATTGCTACCACTCTATACGACTCTGGTGCGCCCGCAACTGGAGTATTGTGCTCAGTTTTGGGCAAGAGGGACATAGTGAGTTGGAATCGGTGCAGCAAAGGGCCACAAGGCTGGTGGCTGGTTTGCAGGGTAAGCCATATGAGGCGAGGCTGAGGGAACTGGGTCTTTTCAGCCTTGAGAGGAGGAGACTCAGAGGGGACCTGTTGGCAACATATAGGTATGTGAGGGGGTGAAACATGGAGGTGGGTAGAGACCTGTTCTGTCCTGTATAAAGACTTCCAAGAATGGCTGAAGTGACTGCCTCGCTTGGAAGGGGACGCCTAGCTCACGGCAGCCTAAATGAAACCACTGGGAGAGGTCATCTAGGGTTTTGGGCTGAGGAGTCATCAATATGCTGAAGACAGCCAGCTCTACCTCCCTTTTACATCTAATCCAGGTGAGGCAGTTGCTGTCCTTAACCAGTGTCTAGCTGGAGTGATGGGCTGGATGAGGGCCATGAAACTGAGATTTAATCCAGACAAGGTGGCGGTCCTATTGGTGGGTGGATCAACTCTCCACGTAAATGATCCTTGCCCTGTTCTGGAAGGGGTTGCATCCCCCCCCCCCCCCGCCTGCAAGGGACAGGGTGCGTAGGCCGGGAGTGTTTCTTGACCCAGAGTTATCCTTGGAGTTCCAGGTGGCTTCTATGGTGAGGAGCACTTTCCTTCAGCTTCAGCTGATCCATCAACTACACCTTTACTTGGATGAGCAGGGCCTTGCAACAGTGACCCATGCTCTGGTAACCTCATGCTTGTAATGCGCCCTATGTGGGGCTGCCCTTGAAAACAGTCCAGACACTTAAACTGGTTCAGAATAGAGCAGCCAGGTTGCTAACAAGGACCGGCAGGTATGAACATATAATGCCGGTCCTCTATCAGTTACACTGGCTGCCAACAGAAGTCCAGGCCCAATGTAAGGTGCTAGTGATGACATAAAAAGCCCTAAATGGCTTAGGAGCTGGATATTTGAAGAAGCACCTCTTTCCATATGTGCCTGCCTAAGATCTGGAGCGGATGTCTTTCTCCGGGAGCCCTCTTTGCAGGAGATCCGAAGAGAGGCTGTGCAGAGAAGGGCCCTCTCTGTGCTGGCGCTCCACCTATGGAATGGGCTCCCCAGAGAGGTGTACCTGGCACTGACACTTTTTTCATTTCGGTGCCAGGCTAAAACCTTTTTATTTTATAAACATAGAAACAGAACGAGACAGAAGGGACCTCCCGGGCCATCTAGTCAGACCTCCGGCACCAGCCAGCTCCACTCATGACATGCCCACCATGTGCATGTCCAGCCTATCCTTGAACTCCCTCACCGATGGGGCCTCAGCCACGTCCCGTGGAAGCCCATTCCACACCCCAGGGGTCCTGACTGTCAGGAAGTGCTTCCTGGCATTCAAATTGAACCTTGGTTCCCTGAGCTTTGCTCCGTTGGAGCGCTTCCTGCCTTCCTCTGCAGAGGAGAACAGGCCTCTACCCACCTCCGTGTGACATCCCCTCACGTACCTGTATGTCACCAACAGATCCCCTCAGAGTCCCCTCTTCTCCAGGCTGAAGAGACCCAGTTCCATTTTCCCAGCATTTTAAAAGTTAGTATTGTTTTAATGTTGATTTTATATATCATTGTGATGCTGTCTTATTTATCTATGTTATCACTGCCCTGGGACACTGTAAAGGGCAGGATACAAAAATTTTAAATAAATAAAATATATAAATATGCTTAGAAGTAAATTCTATAGAGCTTACTCCCATGTAAGTGGGCATAGGATTGCAGCTGAAGTCAGTGGTAGGCATGTCATGAGTGGAGCCGGCTGGACTAGATGGCCCAGGGAACCCCTTCTGACTCACTCTGTTTCTATGCTTCTAATGCTCAAGATAATCATCTGCTCCTCAAAAGTGATCCCAGCTAGCTCCTGCTGAAAACTCAGGTTTGCCTGGATTATCCTAGCGTGTCCCAGTGCCCGCTGGTTCCATTGTTTCAATGTGGGCATCAACCTACTGCGTCACCATCCTCTGCCGCCTCCTCGCATTCCTCGCTGCTCGAGCGACACCAGGATGGTCGCCTCACCAGCCGAAAGCTCTTCTGCCCTGAGAATTCCTTTTGCTAGCAACCAAGACAGACAGACAGACAACACCAAATGGGAAAAAATGGCACGCACCCAAAAAGAAAGGAAAATGCAGCACGCACAAGATGCATGGGAGGCGCTGGGTTGTGGGAGGACGCGCACAAACGTTGTTCTTTGCCCTTCCACTTCCATTAAAACAACCGGGGCAGTGGCGGCCACCCTGGATTTTCCCCCGCAAAGATTCCCAGGGTGGCCGTGGCGCTGGAATGGACCCAACACCAAGACAGAGTCTTGCCTCACAAGACAGAATCCTGAGAGAGACCTAAAAGTAATGAAACTCTTGGGTCCCGAGAACTAAACAGTCCATGAAACAGCATTGAGACCACACATTTTAGCCCACGGCTCAGAGGCTGAACATGTGCTTTGCCCACAGAAGGTCCAGGCGCGGCCCCTGGCAGCGCCCAACTTCAGAAGGCAGATGAAGAACAAAGCAGAACTCTCTGCCCAAGATTTGGCGAGAAGCCGCTCGTCGGACTCCACGGGGCTGGGCTTAACGGACAAACGGTTCGATCTGACATGCCTCTTATGCAGCATTAGCTGACTTTTAAGTGGAATTCTTGCTGCCTAGAAAGTGGGCTGAAGTCTCCTCCAGGAAGTGGGGCATGGTGCTCCCGGGATGCTGCCTCACACCGAGCGGCTGTCCGACCGCAGCAGGGCTGGTTCTCTCGCCACGAATGGGCATCATCATCATCGCCGGCCAGCCGGCCGGCCGGCCAAGCCCACCCCTTGGCCACCCCATGAATTCCTGCTCTCCGCGCTCTCTGCCTCACACTGCCCCCGTCAAGACCGCCATGTCCTTTATGGTGCCCAGCCAACGGGTGCTGGGGCGGCCCCCTCTCCTTTTTCCACCGATCGCTCCCAGCACGATGGACTTTTCAAGGGAGGCAGCTCCCACGCCATGCCCAAAGTATGACCGTCTTTGTCTGGCGATCTTGGCTGGGCAAGCCAAGCAGCAAATGAGAGGTGCAGATTGAGACCTACCCAGTGGGGTGACCCTTTCCCTCCCTTCGGCAATTAATGTGCAGCTTTGGTAGGCCCTCATTTCTACAGGCCGGTCAAAACTGACGAGCAAAGCCAAGCCACGGCTGCCAAAGCCGCCTGGCCATGCGTTCCACAGAAACACTTGCCACAAGAGGGTGCTTCTAACCCTAATGTATGCTCAAATTCCCAAGGGCTGGCTACTGTTGAGCTCATCTCCCCTGCATTGTGGGGTGGGGGGAGAGAGTGCGAGGTAACAGGCTGCAGGCAGAACCTGTGAGGCCACGTGCAAATGGGGACGGATGGCTCCGTGGTGCCGGGCAAGCAGCCCACGACCTAAAAGCACAGACGAGGCACGCACCGCCTACCGACTGGGAAAGAAGGCGTTGTGTGCTGGGCCCTCTCGGGTAACGTGGCGCGATGCCTCCTCTGCAGGCCTGCAGGGTTTCATGCCGTCGTCAGAGCTGGGCGTGAGGCCTGGGTGGACACCAGAGCGGGTGCAGGGAAGGACAGAGGCAGCCCTCTCACTGAGAGCTACAGCTCCACGGCATGAGCGCAGGGGAGCAGGGGCTCCTTCCTGCTTGGGCCACTGAGCCAGCATGCTCTGGACGTTTCTCTACGCCTCTGGGGCACAAGAACAGCCCGCTGCCCACTGGGCTTCCCTGCTGCGCCGGCTGGCTCCCCGCAGTGTGCCTGGCACTGTTCAACCCTCCCAAGTCAGGACCTCCCCGCAGCTTTGATCCCGGAGCATACAGGGCAGCGTCTCTGGGGGACTCCCAAGCCTCAGCCAGGCATGCTCATGCAGGACACATGTGGGACCAACATTTCCAGTTCCTGGAGTTATCTGGGCAGCTGACAAGATGGTTGGAATTCCACTTAAAGTGGGGGTGGGCAACCAGTGACCCACCAAATCAAATCTTTTGACATGCAGCTATCATGATCCTTCCCCACTCGCTTCTTTGACTTAAAGAAAAGCATGAACACAGTTGCTACAAAAACACGCTGGTGTGACAAGATAAACTTATGTGTGCAATGAAACGAAGACTATCTTCCTGGACAGGACTTTGGATGAAGAGCAGCAAGAAAATGGATTCAATTCCTGAGGGAGGCTCTTGAAAACTCACCAGTTTGACACCTGAAAGGACCTCCAAGAGGGATATCAGGTTGTGACCATCTCGCAGGTCCTCGTAGAGGTCATTGATGTGCTTGCGCACCTGTGGATCAAAGCAAAGGAAGAAACTGTTCAGGCGCCTTGAGGTCTTCTCTGATGGTTCCAGGCACCACAACAGTCCAGCCAAGTGAGAGTGCATGTGGGGGACTGGAAAGACCTCAAGATCCCATGCACAGGCAGTGGAGGATTGGGGACAACCCCGTCCCCTGACACCAGAAACTCAAACACAGCCCCACAAGCAGTTCTGTTCCGCTTGGAAGCCTTTTTCTGCAGCAGGAAGGGTAACTTTATTCAAAAGTAGTGCATGCCACAATCGTAAACATGCTGGTCCCCAACATAAGAATGTATACATCCCAGAAGCCACGCAGCCTTCAAAGCAGGAATATTATACCATTGGGCAAAACAAAACAGAGAGAGAGAGCACAGCCCTAGCAAGCTAAAAGTAAAAGGGAATGGTGCTTACTTTCATTAGGTGCTTATTCACCCATTTGGTGAACGTCTTCTTCTGGACACGATCCCGTTCATCTGGTAAAAGAACACACAAAGGAAGACCTGGGTTAGCATTTCCAAAACAAAGGGGGCCTTCTTGAACTTTCCTGCTACCATTTGCAGTTGAACCATCACAAGGCTATTTAGGCCTGAGGTGCAGCCCTACACTTACCATTAGGACACTGCATTTGTATCCCACTTTTCCCTCTTGTTCGGAGCCCAAGCTCACAGGGCTTCCCTCCTCTCCATTCGATCCTCACAACAACCCTGTGAGGTAGGCTAAGCTGAGGGAGAACGACTGGCCCAAAGTCAGTCAGTGAGCTTCACAGCCAAGGGGGCCCTAGAGCCCAGATCCCCGGGGTCCCCAGTCCAGCACTCACAGGGAAAGACGCTGGGGAAGCTGGTGGCTCCTAAGCCAATGGGCTCCTTATCTATTCCAGCTTTCATGCTGAGCTTTAAAGGAGCAGTGGATGGAGTGAGCCAGCAGCCTTCCCTGGAGACATCCTTCCATGCGCAAATGCACCTTTTGAAATCTCTCCTACATGGACAGGTGTTATAAGGTACCTAAAACCACTGCACCAGCCTTTGGCAGGAAGCAGCCCTAAACCAGTGCAGGCTATTCTTTCACTGTATTTGGGTTCATTGGATTTTGGGGATTCAACATTCACTTTAAGCCTTTGGGGGCACCTGAAGAGTTTGATGTTTCTCTCTCCCCCCTGCGCACGTGTGTGTCTGTGTGTGTGTGCGCGCGCGCGCTAGCCAAACGGAAAGGACATGAGGGGCTCTGATCCCAGCAGAGTTTTACCTGAATAAGCTGCCCACCAATTCTGTGCCGCAGACAGATCCCCCCCACCCCAACAAAACACGGGCTGCTCCCGGACACAAGTCATCCTTCGCATTATGCCATGGGTTCTTCCTTCTTGTCGGTGCCTTCACCTGAGGAACTGCAGCAGAGGACGGACATTTGGCTTATGGTTTCAATCCCACCAGTGGGGAGAGGAGGGCAGGATGTGCCCCAGCCACCTATGAATGTGTCCCACCCACTTCAGCTTCTCTCTCTTCATTGTCTCCACTCCCCCCTCAATGCACACACCTGTTGCAGGCACCTGTTGAAGGTACTTTGCACACCTGTGCCCACTCCTCTTTCAACAAACTAAATGGAAACTCCAGGCTTTCAAAGCACTCCAATCTGCCATTCCGAGTCATGAAATTCCCCCCCCCCCCCCGGGTGCTTTCCAGAGCCTGTGGCCAAGGGGGCAAGAGCAGGAGTCATGCCGTGCCGTGCCACATCTTGGACAGCATCTGCGCCTTCTACCGGGGACGGCACGCCCACTGGGAGAAATGGGGTCCAGCACGGCACAGGGAACCAGATGCCTCCTCTTCATTCTCAGAAAGCAAGTGTGCTGCCACTTAATCCTAAGGCAAAGGATAGCACGGAATAAGCCTCTGTGCGGTTTCAGCATGAGAAAGGGAACAAGAAGCTCCATGGCGCTAAAGGGTGGAAGCCAAATATCTCCGGGATTTTGCTGGATTCAGCAGAGTCTTTGCAGCCAGGTGGCGGCACCATGGTGCCTGCACGGTGTTCTTCCTACTCTCAAGCAAAAGGACGAGATGCCAGTCCTGCTCTGCCCCCAAGTTGCCCCCAGGGAGCTCTGCCCCCTTGGTCTCTGAGCTGTGGGAGCTCATGTGAGTACAGGCAGAGCCAAGTCTAGGAGACGCCCTCCACTGCCCTTCAATCACTCCCTAATTATGGGGCACTCTGATCTAGGCTGAAATCCGCATTCTGTAGTCACATGTGATTCAGCTGCTGACAAGCTCTGTCTGGTGAGTTCCTTAGGACGTACTTACGGTTTCTCAACACTGTGTGACAGAACACAGTACCGAATCCTGCTGACAACCTTCAGCCTTGGCTGGAGAAGCACTTAGCACCGCCATCAGTGGCAACCGTCTTGCTCTTTCAAAGCAAGCTAAGCATTAAGCATTTGGCTCAGCATTTTAGCAATCCTCCCCACCCCCAGGACTTTTCCCACTTGCCTCAGTATTTCAAGAAAGGTGCTTGACCCATTCTCCTTAAAACTTCTCATGCTTTTTCCCGGAGACCTGCCCTGAGCAGGGGGCTGGACCCAACTCTGCTATTCTTTGAGTACAGAATATACTCCTAGCCATTTGCAGTGCTGGATACCTAAATGCTTCTGCAAACAGGGAAAGTCTGCCCATCCCATCACCCACAGCAGACGCTGGAGAGAGGGCGTTTTGCTTTGGGATGCCAACTGGCCATTAAGGAGCGAGTTGACCTTCCAGAAGTTAAATACGCAAAGGGCAATGCTTCTGCCCAAGTCCCCGTGCTGTGGGAAGGGTGGCTGCCTTGGGGTGGAGCAGGAGCAGCGTTCCAAGCTCAGCTCAAGGCGCTTTGGCCACGGAATCTGCTTGCCAATGCACTGACTCAGGACACACCCCTCAGGCAGTTTCTCTGAACATGCCAAGCAGAAATGAAGCGGACTCTGCAACTTCCTGTTATTTGAACAGGCGCTGCATGGGTCACTTCAGCCCTAGCCACTCCCACTCTGCCTGCTTGACGGGGTCCAGCATCTATTGCCCATGACAGCTGCCTCACCTCTTGGCAGAGCTTTCCCTGCCCCGGACCAGTGGAGCTTCAAGATAGGTATATCATGACATGGACCACTTACTGACCAGAGTTCTTCGACATGGCACACTCTGGACATGTTGGACTACAACTCCCATCACCCCCAGCCAAATGCTGGCTGGGAGTGATGGGAACTGCCATCTGACACCTCTGGAAGGTGCTAATTGAAGAACCCTGGTCTAGAACACGCCGTCCACCGTGCTTCCGCGTTGCTCTACTCCTTCCTCCGCCTTTTGCCTTAGCGTGGAATATCCATAAAGGAGCCACGGGGGACCAGCTACGCCACGGGGCTCTCCCTCCGGCAGTGCTGGGCACACTCGGCCGGAAAGCAGCACCGGCTCAGCCACACTCACCAGAGACCTGCATCCAACACAGATGCTCTCCCAGAGCCTTGCCCTCTTCCACACCTCAAGGCCCACACTGCCTCTCGGGCAGCGTCCAAGGCTGCAGCCTGCATAGGGGTGAGCCAACGCACATCCCAGCCACAAGTCAGAAGAGGGTGAAAATAAAGAACCAGCCTGCAAGTCAAATAAGCCACACCTATAAGGAAGTTCAGTTTCGTGTTCCTTTCTTCCAAGGAACCATGGTTCAGATCAGGCCGATATCCTCTCCCCTCCTCCCTCCCCAGTCCGCCCAACTGAAGAAGGAGTTAAAAGGAGAAGTGGGCCAGGCTATACTAACCGACACAGCACATCTGGCACACCAGGTGGGCATTCAACTCTCTCTCCCCTCTGTAAAGGCGCCACATTGTCCCCTTGGATCCCGGTGCCAGCAGCAGCAAGTCCTCGGTGCTCAACCGCTCTCTTCCATCCTTCTGCCTCCAGAGAGATGCTACCTGCAACTTGGTCCTTCAGCCCCGTGCACTTGCGGGCAGCCCCTCTGCCGTGGCCCCTCCCACCACTTCCTGCCTTTCAATCCAAAGCGAGAGCACATGCGCATGCATTTCCTTTTAGAACATCCCTTCGGAAAGCCTCCGCAAACCAGAACACCCTCCTAGAAGGTTTCAAGAGGAAGATCCCCTTTACAAAAAGGCTCCAAAGACTTTTGTAGACCGGAAGCAACCGGAAGCCTCTGATCCAGGGCAAAGGAGAAGGTATCGTGCTCCTGGACAAGCGGGGCGGCAGTGTGCAAGAATATCAGAATGCAGGCACTCCATGCTGGTGACTCAGTTGCGCCAAGGAGACTGGCCAGTAACATCCGGCCTCGATTCAGAGTGCGGCATCTCAGCCGCTGCAGGCAGCCGCTATCCCCAGCTATCCCTTTGCACTCAGGAAAGAAGAAGCGGCCTTACAAATATGTGCAGCGGTATTGAAACAAGCCAGGGAGGCTGAGCTGCACTGCCTGAAGAAGAAGAGAGGAAGAGCGCCTGCGCTTCGGAGAGGAGCAACCCCAGCACGAGTCCGAGGCACTGTGGAACGGCTGACTGCTATTCAGGGATCGGCTACAGAAAGCACCTTTTCCAGTTTCCAGCTTTTTCCAAAGTTCCACTCAAGCCCAAGCTGCTATTTTCACCCAGTAAGCTGCATGTGGCAATTAGGAAGTCCACCCAACTCCTCTCCAAAAAACTGAGCGGTGGCGTGGGGCTGCCGGTGCCACTCTCGAGCCTAGTTTTCCAGCAGTGGTGTCAAGTACATGTCAAACAGAAACAACACCAAGGAAGAACAATGGGGCATTCTTTCCCTGTTGCGTTCATGCAGGGCCTGCAGCATCTTCACAACGTGTCCAATCAAAGACAAACCCCCGTCTTCTGGAGTGCAAATCTGCAAAGAAACTGGAAGGAGCTGTTCTGGGCAGGATGAGATCCTTGGGTGCCCACGGCAGAGATGGCAGAAGCTGTTCTATTGCTCTTCTCATCCTTTTCGTTTCCTCCTCCTAAAATGTCTCCTCCTCATTCCCTTTCTGCCGGGAAGAGCACCGTCCCCACGGCAGGCCGAACACGCGGCTTTCACACTGCAGAGACACCCTAGCAGTGACTGGGACTGGCCGGAAAAATCAGCTTCTGGTTTTCTTCACTACCACCCAGGAATAGGTCCAAGAGTTCTCCTTGAAAATCTTTAGAGTAGGAGGGGGAGAATTCTGGCGGATGCTCTTTTCTCCGCCTGGAGAGTCCTGCTTATCCTTGCATTCTAACGAGATTAGCTCTCCCCACACCCCGTGCGCACCGCCACTGTCCAATCAGCTAATATAAGTCTCTCCTGCCTTCTCACCAGCAACCTTAAGGCCCCACCAGCTTATCTCCAACTGGTAAATCTTTCTCCGGAGTCCTTCCAATAAGCAACCTGTTACAGCCACCTCCTCCGCTCCCGGCAGCCACAGAAGCCACTCCAAAGAGCTTTCTGTTATCCCTCCCTTGCCCGCTTTCCCCTCACCCGGCCAGAGATAACCAATCAACCGTCTGGCGTGAGAGGCAGCAGCAAAGCTGCTATTGTCGGTGACCTGGGCTGGCCCAGCAGCAGAAAGCAAGAGCAAAGAGAGCGGGATGATTCGGGCAGCAGGAAACTCCGCCAAACTCCGGGCAGCAAAATCATAAAAGAGTGCTCAACCACTCAAAACGGAGGTGACGAAGATACCCAGCAACACCCTTTGAAGTATCCCCCAAGCCCTCTTTGGACCAGCCGGCAGCCAGGCAATCCATGGGAGGGAGGGAGGGAGGGAGGGAGGGCCACCAGGAGCGGTGTTTTGGGGCTCTGGTCCCACTGGGTTCCAGGCTTCCAAGGGTTTCTAGAGTAAGGGAGCCAGTGGAAAACATACGCTTGGCAGAAGAAAGCTTGACACCACAGAAAGCGCTGCCTTATTCTGAGAAAGAAGCCTGGGCCGTCTGACTCAGGACGGGCTACACCAGCCTACCCACCAGATGGCTGGCAGCAGGTTGCTGGAGCTGCCACACAAAGCACTTGTGTGGGGAGGCCAGTGGGGACCGAGTGGCAGCGACTCCCCAGGCTGCAGGCCGGAATCCGCCAGACACCACCCAGAGGTCCGGGGCAGGACCTGCGACCTTCCAAGTGTCCGGTCGGCGCTCTACTGCAGAACCATGGCTCCTCCCCACGTACCCAAACATATACATAAATGTAAATATAAATAACTGCATGCTCTTACCCTAGGATTGCATCATCTGGAATTACGTAATTCTCTCCAGAGGTACTTTAATCAGCAACGTCTACTGCGGGGTGGAAGTGCACTCCACTTGAGCCGCCTTCTGTGCATGCACGTGGACTGACAGAGGCTTTGTTCGCACAGCCAAGATTCACATGCCCCCCTCCCCCCCCAAGAAGAATGCCTCGCTAGGTCAGAAAGGGTTTCCGCAGCATTGCAGCGCCCTCCCTCCCTGTGGATCGCCTTGGGCCACTAACAACTCACTGTCCGACCCTGGAAACTAGGAAGTTAAAGGCGTACAGACACACAAAGGTGCTTCCAGACAAGAGGCTTCAATTCCTAACACTTCAGAGACTTTGGGTGGTTAGACAGAATCCTCCTTCATGGCTTTTCTACTGTAAGAGAAAAGATGGACGAGGCACTGGGAAAACGCAAGACAGGTAGGAGTGGAAGACAGCGAGGACAATGTCTGAACCTTCCTGTAAGTTCTTCAAAAGAGGCAGGATTTTAATTTCTCATCTGCAGGCATACCCACCATCCCTGAATCAGGCCGGCCATGCAGATGGAGGTGGGGATTAATTCCACCGGAAAGGAATTTGGAGCATTTGGAGACGGCGTGAAAGTTCTATCTGTGGCACCCTGTTCCCTTGCAACATGTGTGAATGGCTTAAGATGGTAAAAGCCAGTCTGGATGCCCATAATCCCCAAAACTCAGAGGGTTACAGGAACGATGTGCAGAGCAGGAGGAGAGCAGAAGTGATCTCTGCCCTGCAAAATTCTCAAACGCTGATTTCACACCCAAGAGTTGGTGGGCAGAAGAACCAGCAGGGCTGGCATCAAGGCAATCCCTGGTCTCCTCTGCTCGGTGCCACCACCATGATTTGCACGTTCAAGCCTGCCCGACATGCACTCGTCTGCATTTGCACCCCACTGTGGCTTAAGCCATGCAGTTCATGTGTTTAATTTCCCCACTGAGGCTTAAGCTCAATGCTGAAGTCATAAACTCTACATCAACAAGAGTCAGAAGATGGAGTGTCGGAGTGTTGGGCCAAGCCCTGTCCAGTTTTGTGCATCTGTGACCCAGGAGTACTGGGAAGAGAACTAGGAATGGAATGACAGATTTCCCCCAAATCCAGCTCTTGCTTGGACTTGTCTCCAACCTTGGGCAGAACACACTGGTTCCTTTGTAGGCTGAGAATAAAACGTGAAGAGAACTGTAACAGTTTTAAAATTAGTAAAGTCAGAGACAAATTCTGACTCCACGTAGTGCACTAAGTTAAATTAAAATCAGTAAAAGCTGAATTTGAAGAATTAGCTCTCCTCAGAGAGGAGGACTCCCTACCCTGCCTTGCATCTTTTCCTTACTCCAAAAATCAGTTAAGGAAGGAAAGCTAGAATGGCTGCACAAGGCCTTTGCTTAGTAGCATTAGGGGTGCTTCTGCCTTTTAATCTTAATGTGGAAGTTCTCTTATTGAATCCACTGTGATTCTTTTATTGTCTAGCAAACATCTACTCAGAGGACACCACAAAACTTAAAAGCAAAGTTGCTCAGCGACTGATTTTTCTTCCTAATTGCCACAGCAGAATGCTTTGAGATGGAAGGTTCCTGGCACTACCAATCCGAAGGCCTCATGTAACTATTCCATCTTTTTCTTCCCAATGGATTTTCTGCTGTAAGGAAAATGAGAGAAGCAGCAGCAAAAAGGCACTGGACACATACGAATGGAGAGAGCCACCTGGACCTCATATGACGAGACAAAGCCTCCAGATGTGGAAAATGTGTGTCCAGCTTTATTCCTTGAGGAAGCCTAATGTGTTTCAGTTCTGGGTAATAGATGTGGACCATCTTCAGGGTTCAGTATTTCTAAAATTGCCTACAAAGATCTCTGGGGAACATGTCTCCAAAATGCATCCTGCATATCTGCTGAAATACTGGTCCCTAAAGAAGGTCTATATATAGCACACATGGCTGAAATGCATGGAGGGATACACGCAGTTTCAACAATCGGTTGAGAGGCCCGCCAATGCAAAAGTCCGACTGCCTGAAGACAGAAGGTGCACCTGTCAGACCCTGAGTGCTACGAAGGGCCCTAAAGCGCTTGCTCTACCTCAAGGGTCCTCCAACTTTGTGAGTAGTGGGCCACTTGAAAGGTGTGGTGACCGTTGTGGGCTGGTGAGGTGGGGTGCCTGGGAGTGAGGTGCCGTTGGGCATGTGCGAGGCGGCACCGGGCACGCGCGGCGGTGGCTGGCTCGCTCGCTCGGAGAGCTCCCAGCGAGTCCAAAACCATCTCCAAGAAAGCAAGCCACCACCTCCCCACCTGCGCTGCAAGGCAGGGCGAGCGCGTGCATACGGGAGGCCGGCAGCGGCGGCCTGCTCACTTGGAGACCATCTCCGAGGGAGCAAGCCACCACCTCCACGCCTGCGCAGCAAGTGCACGCGCGCAGGGAACAGTGGTGCGGGCCAGATGGAAGGCCATGACGGCCGGATCCGTCCCATGGGCCGTAGCTTGAGGACCCATGGTCTACCTGGTCCAGGACCAAGGTGGATAAAAATCAATGTTTTTAAAAAATAAAAATGAAAAATCAGATTTAATTTAAATTGGATGTTTTGATTTAAATTGCATGTTTTAATGAAATGCTTTTTGAGGAAAAAATATATATAGTTTTCTGTTTAAAATACATTATAGTCCAAAGGTTATCCATCATGAAATATGGATTAGTTTTTAATTATGTGGCATGGGCCTGTATATTCATGCATTTTTTTGGTAAATGGTTTCCATTAATCCATTCACAGGGCCATGCTCTTCCAGAGATATTTAAAGATTATGGTGGAATTTTTCATTCTAGAAGATGTTGTCACAGATGTTTGTTTTTACAAATCTCAAAACTGTGAATTTGTGTCTGTAGACATCACTGGCCTGACATCACTGGAACAGGTTGGGAGGGCCGGTGCGAGCAGTGAAGCCAAGTTGACCGAGGAGCACATGCAGCCCCTCCCCAGGCATGGCCGAAGAGCCCAGTTAAGACACCTGCGGCACGATCCTTGGCGAACCCGAGTCCTGCTGAAGAAAGGAACCTTGGCGGTGGGGAGGAAAATCCTTTTTACACTGTGACCGATGGAAGCTAAATTGCACCCCCTTGTCCAGGACAAGTTGGCCTCCGGGTGCCAGAAGCGTGGGACAAAGCTGTCTTCCTGTGTAGAAGATACTATCCCAGCTGCTTGGTTTGACAGTGCTCAAAACTCTGAATTTGTGTCTGCAGAGATCATGTGCCTCTTTTTCACAGCAAAAATGTTACAAAAAATACATGCAGAGTTGAGGAAAAAGACCTTCATCCTGTTGTTCCTTTGCAAATTTTTGTACACAGAATCCACCCCTCACCTCTTGAGGGCTGAGTTTCGGGAAATGCAATGAATAGAAGACGACCGCTGGGGGTGGAATAGATCTGCGCAAGAAGCTAAGTGCAAGGAGGGAGGGGCAGGCAGGAAGAATGAGAGCGAACCTGTTGAGCGAATGCTCCACTGATCTTCGGATCTTCTTGTGTGCAGCCTGAGGTTTATCATTCTGTTCTTTACCTGGAGGAGAAACCCTATAATGGCCTCCTGCCCTAAATGAGACCCAGTTTGGGACTACTTTGATGACGTTCCTCTATCTATGGGTAAGGCAGGCACGCGTGCAAATCTAGTCTTACTGAGTAGCGATTTAGATTGTGATTTAAATC